ATATATGCGTGAAAGTTGGCCGTATGTTTGCTCATCAGGAATGAGCCCATGCATTTCGTATTGTTTCAGCACTCCAATAATATCCACATCAATGTTATTGTCTATTTGGGCACCAAGTAGAGCATTCCGGGCGGCCAATCCCAATCGAACACCTGTAATATCACTTCCTGATCGTTCGGTAAAAAAATTCGATTGCCGAGCCACTGGATAAATCATGCTACTTTTTTAATGATAAATTAGGCCTCTTGTCTAGCAGAAGTTTCCCAGCATCCAAAAAAAAAAAAAAAAAATAGTTTTAAATCAGGAAATTTCAAAGTTTCTGCGGTCATTGAGGAGTTTTCTTACCTCTGGCATTAAAAATTTGAAGCATCCTAGCGGTGAAAGTGTTTCTTTGCTTTCCGGAAAGCATTTGGCAGCGGCGACCCGTAGCAGCTAACAGAGCAGCAACCTCGTAATCAGACAACGCTGCTGCTTCGAATCGAGAATCACCGAGCATACGCAGCGCTTTCTCGAGATGCACCTCCGTGACCAGCGTGTTCCATTCCAAACTAAAATGTACATAAAGAAGCGAAGAATTAAAGCTGCAGTTAGGCAGGGAGCGCAAAAAAACGTTCAAATGAACGTGCACCAGAAAACACTCTCTCATCTGAGCGTCGAAAGTAATTCCAGTAATTCTTATCTTTGAAGATAACGTATTTTTGATCAAGGGAAACCGTAACCCAATCGTACTTCCATTCACTGAGTTTGAATTTTTCTTTTTTTTTTCATCACATTAACCAGTTAAGCAGTTTTAACACGTACATTATTAATTCAGTTGTGACGCGGGAAAATTATCATAAACTGCTACACATGCGTTGAGCAGCGTTATATGCGACAGCTACAGAAGCACAATGGTACCTGTCGATAAGATCATAGATGTTCCATTGCTGGTCCACTTCCAGACGTTTTGCATGTTTTCTAAACAGCTCCTGCTCCACGTGTCTCATCGGTAAGATTTTCGACGAAGCGGCTGCCGTGCAAAAGTTCGGCTAAACACAAAAAAGCCTTCAATGGTATGTCATGTAAAAAAATCTACCCAGCAAAAGCACTGGGCAATCTTAAAAAAGTTTTAAAAAAGCCATTTAAAAAGTTTAAAAAGTCTAAAAAAGGCCGGATACTACCACCAGGAAAGGGGCGAATCTTCGCAGCATCAAAATCAACGAATTCTTTGACCTTTTTGCTTTTTGTACCATTGAAGCTAATTTTTGGAAATATAGCTTGTGCAGTGAATGAAATCATTGGAATCTGCGATTCGTTAGTTTCTTTTTTTAAGGCTTAAACGGTCGATTTGTTTTTTTTTTTTTTTGTTTTTTTAAGGCTTTTTTTTCATGGCGGTACCCAGAGAATCTGGGGGACCTAACTTTTCAGAGAACTGCGATTTTAAAATGTAATCTTTTTGCCGATGCAATTCAGTGTAACACACATCCGCATATAAACATGGCCTGCAAATGCTCATTTTTCTTCGATTCACAAAAAAATACGAGAAAAAAAGTACCGATGCATTCGTGGTTAGCCATTGCGGCTCCGATGCCAAGCCAGGACTGTGTGAAATAAAAGCAGCTGCAGCAGTAGCAGCCGTCGATGTGACCGCCATCGCTCCGGACGAACGTCTCCTACACATGCTGCTGCAATGCTTCGAAGGTATAATTAGGTAAAACTGAATGAAAATGGCATAAAATTGTAATTAAACAACTAAAAAGTAATGTTTCGGTTCCTAAAATCTACATTCCTGCTAAGCTTACAACTGGACCTTGTCAGCAAGGCGGTTTTGGTCTCAAATGGTTTTAAATAAGATATATTTGAAAGAATAAAATCGAAAAGAAAATAAAACATGGAATTATTCAGAGGAAAAATGATCAAAATAAATTCGCCGTGAACACATATATACGCAGTGATTTTATTTTAATCACTTATATTTGTTATGCGTTTTTTGCAGCTATGCAATGCAGAAAACGCATATTGACGAGGGGTTGTCTGTGTGCTCGTCTGTACCGAGACCTACAAAAGCTACAGGGCTGAAACTTTGGGAACTTAATCTACATGCACGTGCGGACCCCAATCCCCAAAATGGGCGCTTTACCCGCGTGGTACCCGCGTGCTGGCCCGCGAAAGTTTTTTGCAGGTAAGTCGCTAACTCGGGAACCAGTAAAGCTAGAAAGCTGAAATTTTAAGGGGATGTTTTCTGACAGTTCTGGCGGCCAGTCTTAACTTGTTTAGCTAGAAGCATTTGCCGAAAAAACCGATGCCGGTAGCGATAAAAACTGGTGGGAACTATGCAAAAAACGCATCATCGCACCGGCAGCTGGTGCGTTGGCCAATTATTATTTTTAGATTTGTGACGATGCGCATGGTCTGGGGCTATGTGTTGGATCTGAATTCATGCGGTGCGCATCCAACTAGAGTCTACTTCAGCGAGGTTTTCAGCACTTACCTTCGTTGCACGGCACGTGCCGCTGTATATACGCCTAGTTTCACTAAACCTTATCACAGCAAATCTGAAGGTTACTTACATGGACCGTGCTTGCTAACTGGCGCAATTACAATATAAAAAATGCCAATGGTCAGTGTTCCTGTAAAAAAGAAGGCATACCTTGCAGCACGAGAAAATACCGCCGATACGATCATCGCTCAGCGCGGTAGACCTGTGTTCGTAACCATGTACAGCTAGAAAAAAAAACCCGTGAGGGACATGCATCCTACTCGCCCTGCAGGAAACAGCTTCCGCGAAGGACTCTAACAACATGAATTCTTCCAGTTGCACGTGGAACGAGGAAATACTTGTGAAATTTCGAATTTCTAACTTAACTGCTCCCCAATTCGTTTTTGCGGTTAATAATAAATTTCGCCCACCCGCTCTTGAAAGCTTAAAAAGTGTGGAAATTCCTTTTACAACCGAAGACCCATTCATAAGTAGTGAACTTAGTCTTTCCCTTTCTTTCCTTGCATCTTTCTCTTTCCTCGCTGCGACCCTCATACTGACGAGGTCCTGTCGGGTGGTACTGAGTTAAAACGTATATGATTTAATGGACCGAAACGTCTTATCTCACTCTTGCCCTCTTTTCTCACACTGTTTTTGTTTTCTGTATTCAATCGCGTCTCCGTTACTTCGGCTTCCAAGGTCAACCTGGATGTTACAGTCAACTTAATCACCGAAATTTCAGCTTCATGACTTTCGTAGATCCAGAAACCGAACTATGCGGACGTGCACAAACAACCGCAAAAAAACCTCTCCTCATGGCATATATTTTTGCATTCCATTTTTGCTAAAAGGTGTGTAAAAAATGAGGGTCGCTGCGTACTTTTTTCCCTTTTTTAACAAATACCTCGAACACATTTTCATTT